TGTTTGCCTTCTTCATTGAGTCTCCGATTTCAAGTCTGGGTTGTAGCGAAATCCCTCACTCCATGACTAATAGGTCATGAACGGAAACGTACACAAACACGATTTCTGTCTGCAGTAAATGAACGAATAACAAAGACGTTGTCTGTAAAATATGCTTACTCCGAAATGAGTGCCTTGTCCACCACCCAGGAGTTGGCAGTTTTCTCGCTAAGGTTTATCCCTCTCAGCGACAAAACCGTGAGAAATCGCAGTCCAACGCCGAATAAGCGCGCTCTAGAGACATGTACCTTATTTGTGGAAGGTCATTGACTGACAAGTGCACATCAGTCAGAACTAAATACCTGCTCATAATAGGCTGGACTCAATTACCTTTGCGACCCGCGAGTCTGTGGCAAGAAGTGAAAATGATCCCAGGTTAGAAGAACGTTAAGAACCACTGATGTAAATAAACTCTTGATTGTACCTTAAAGTTGTCTGAAACGGAAATTAACCCGTGCATATCATATTTGGGGGGGGGGTTGTGGGGGGGGGGGGACTACGTGCAGTATTTTTTTAGAATGAACTTTCACCTGATCTAGTCCATCGGCGATGAAAAATATGGATCTTTGAGTTCTCGCCTGTGACGAACACGTTGATGCTTCAGGATTGTTGTGTTTGGACATTGCCCTGCTTAGCCGAATGTGATCGAATTCCATAACAAGAAGACTCTTTTACTATTACCTACTTGTGACGTCATCATTCGTTTGTTCATTATATCCCACTCCAGTACAATAACACACACTGAGTGTGCCTACCAATGAGAACACATTACTTGATTCTCATTCAGAGACCGTTTGCTCTGAGGGATACCGCGGGAGCATGGGGATCTATGGCAGGCTCCCAGGGGCTCTACACACATAATTCTATCAATTACAAGATGAAAACTGATTCTGTTCGCAAACCCTGAAACTGGAATTGTGGTCCAAGAGCATATAAACCAGTGCTTTTGAGCCCATAATTTTATTTTGGGTGGTTCTACTGAGCATGCAATGCACATATAAATATTTAACACATGCGCTGTTCAGGGATTTATGTAATTCATTGATCGTGGTATCCGTTTAATATAGACGCAGATTATATTGTAAAATCTGAACTTCTCACGGTGGCGAATAGAAATATGGCTGACTGTTTTGTGAGTTACTGCGTCACAGGCGCATGCTGCCTCCATCAAACAGGCTATGAGTAAGCCACGAGCGAGGAAACTACGTATATTATTTGTACTTCGTACAATGTTCTCTATAGGCTATATCCAAAATTATTTCAGATACGTTTTGAAAGAACTTGGTAAAGTAAGCTGGAATCTTATCCAAAATTTGTATACATGGAGTTTTTTTTTCATACGTTAATTTGAGTGTTGATTGGTTGGTAAGTGATCATTTACTGTTAGTTTTACTGGCCGTAGGGGATATTATTTATGACTTGTGTGTGTTGACCACTTCAGATTTTACGTCATTCTCGACGGGCAGTTTAATAAAGCGAAGATTCATTGACGTAATAGTTTCTTCCTTCGTATTATGTAAGTTAAACATTTGCGTTGTTAAGGCAGGTTAGCTAATCTGTAAGCATGTCGTATCTGTGGCAGTATGTAATTTGTATACTTCATACAAAGCAAGCAGAATATCTGCAGCTAACTGGGGAACTTCGCATTTATTTTTGTATTCTGATAGCCCTGACCAAGCAGAGTGTTATCGTACTCTCGGGCCTGTGTTAAGACTTTATCACTGACCTGGCACTTTGGCTGGTCTCGGGGTAAATGTAGTTTAGTATTTTTTTTTGTTTGGCTCTGAAAGTATATTGGAACTTTTTCTTTATTTTTAATAGCACAGCACTTATGGGCGTGCAGGTCTATAGAATCAACTATGAAAATAATCTTGGAGCAATATAAAAGGAAAATAGTTTAGTAAAATGTGTCCAAAACGTAATCCATATTATTCTCAAAGCAAACCGATTATATTCTGTAACAACATTATAATTTGTACATGTTATTTAGATTACCTTCGGTTTCAGAGGGTTAAAACACATTCTGTTCGTCGCAGTGCAAAGGAGTAATAGTAAAGAGAAATTTGTTCGTTTATCAAGGAGTGCCACTTCACTCTGGTGTAGCAAGAAGACGATGTCTTAAAAAGGCAACGCTGGTAACGCTTTCTGATTGTACTTCCTTCCTAGCAATGGAAACCTCAGCCTTCATCTACGTTGCTTGTAGATTATCCCGTGGGAGTTCGAGAATAACAAGACCGCGTGTTCGAAGTCATAATACGTAGTTTTTAGCCCTGTGAGCTTCGTGAGATGTATGTGACAGGAATCCATAACTTTATCTCTCTGGTGCAGTCAAGTAGCTACTAACGTACATAGCCTATACATAGATTACTGCCGTCTCCACAAACATGTATTTTAGCTTTAACGCCAAGTGGTAATCACGTTAAAAAGACCATAATTACATTTAGTCGCATCTTGCGCCAAATTTAATTAAAACTGAACCATTATGCGTTTGTTACTTGAAGTGCATAGCGAGACCTCATTATGGACTAGTCATGTCTATCTGTCTGTCTAGTCGATTCGACTGTGCTGTTCTGTACGACCTCCAAAACAAAATATTTTGAATATTCTACGAGAGGTGATAACAAAATGATGGATGGGAGAAGTCATGCGGTAGACATTGATTTGCTGCGATATGATGGCCAAAGTAGGAACTATTGAACAAGGCGGGTTTAATACCCCTAAATGCACGTTTCAGAGAACGCATGAAGATATGCGAATTCGGGGACGGAATACGCTTTCCTAGCTTGTTAATTGAAGATGTTGTATCTGTACTTACGATAGTATCGTAGCAAATCAAGGCGATGGTCAAATCCGGACCGACTCAATGAACTATTGTTGGTTTAGGTTTCTTCATCCACTGGTCCTTAGTAAGGTGACGGGTAGTCTCGATCAAGATTCGAATCGATATCTCCCGAAGAGAAGTGTAGAGCGATACCAGAACGCCAACCTGTTGGGTTAGAAAGATCTTTCTTTAGTGGTTTGTCAGTGTCCCTAAAGACGATTTCCGACTCTGCTTTTAAATAAGTGACGTCCATCTATTATATGCCATTATCAATGCATGATTGTCATAAGACAGACTAACAATAAATTACATAAAAAGAATCCCCGTGCGAGACATTTAGGTGGTCTGTAAAGTGTACAGAAAGACGTAGTTACGAATTCAATTGCAATGAAACAATGACAATGCCTAGATCCGTACACAGGCGTTATGATAATTCAGAGAGAACAAATTACATTTATTCGAGATGCAAAACTCTTAGTGATGTAATATAAAATATGTGTCTCTTGTTTTACGCTTTTTCTACACTTTCCGCGCTTCCCTGGCGTGTTCGTTCGCGGAACTTCTTGAACGTTAATTGGACCCCTTGTCACCACTGCATGGAGTGACCGTTGGGGGAGAAGACCTCCAGATGTTTGAATATGTTGAATAAGCAGTCAAGGACAGATGAGAAGGGGTGGTCCTACAGCTTGGGAGTTAGACACAGGGCAGACAGCCATTCACCGCAATTTATTTTGTGTTACGAAAATTTCAAAACCACAAGGAATGCATACAGATTTTATTCGGAAAACTTTCGGAGAAGAGCTATTTTGAAGAGGAAAAACGAGACTTAAGCACTTGGCACTTAAGTGATTAAGTCTCGTTTTTCCGAGACAGGATGATAAAATTAGAAAAGGGGGTCTTACAAAATTTGCTGTTAGGATTTAATATGGATGAAACTGGTTCAGGATTGTGATTTATGGCGTAAGTTTAGTGCGTAACATTTTTTACAACTTATTTCCTAAAAACGAAATTAAGGACAACAACCAGTGTAAGGCCTCTAGAAACTTAACGCATTTCTTGTGTTAATTCTCACATTTGGAGTTCACGTTTCACGTAACCATATACCTCTGAGGCGGAAGGTACTCGTAGATAGGTAAAAACAGCTGAAACTGCTTTTGAAAGTTTTCAATGACTCTGTTCTGAATCGCTGAATCAGTCTGTTGCATATGGGACTCGGTTACAATATGAAGATAAGTGAATCTCTAATCCAGTTTCTATTGAACGATATATATTTCCTCTATAGGGACTATCACATACTACAAAATGCGATCTTAGATGTAATATACGTACTGTGCATAGAAGACAGGAAATACTCGTGCAGCCTATAGGCTACAATTTTATAAATACTGGCAAGGCATTCTACTGACAAACATAAAAGTACAAATCCAGTGAACACTTTGGCATATCAGTTTTGTTTGAAAACTGTTCCTTTTATTTACAGTCATCACTGCGCAGAAGCTGGCTGTTCGCACCAGCGTGAATTACTGCTGTATTGTACTCTGAAAGTTTGGCAGTGTTATAACTGGTGTTCGAAAAGTTATAAATCAATTTTATTATCTGAAATAAAAGATATAAAAACAATGGAAAGAGATTATTACACATGGTATAAAATATTTAACAGAAATGCGTGCTATAAAGAACTAGGAAATTTAAAACATTTTTCTTGCCTTTAACTTCTTTTCTGTTTCTTCGCGTTTTCGTTGGCAAATGTCAGATTTTGTTGGAAGATTTCGGATGAGTCAGTTCTCATATTTGGTTGGCGATCCGACCAGAGGGTGTCAGTTTCATTATAAAATTTCGTTTAGCGAATCTTCTTAAAGCGGGGAGTGATATTTCGTGCAAATAAGCCATAAGAACACAGAAATTTGTCAGTGGCGTCTTGTCAAATGTTCATTGCGAAACAAACTATGCAAATTCTCCTCGTGTTTCACTTTAAAATACCATACGAGGAAATGTTTATTAAATGTTTCTCTTGCAGCGTTTTTATAGCCGGAACAGGATTTGAACCGTGTGATGCTGAATACTGCACCTATTTTTATTGGCATGTTGTGTTCTACTTCCCGGTGCACGTCACGTACACACTGTGTGTCTCTTGATGTAGTTGAGACAGCCGAGTACTTCTCGGAGGGTCGCGAATGTGTCAACTGCGGCGCCATTTCGACGCCCCTGTGGCGTCGGGACGGGACTGGTCACTACCTGTGCAATGCGTGCGGGCTCTACCACAAGATGAACGGCATGAACCGACCCCTGGTTAAACAGCCACGGCGTCTGGTAAGACAGACCACACAGGCGATACCGCACTCTGTAACTTTAAGGGAACAAAAGTATTCGAATTGCTTCTCTTTTTCGAAAATATCCATCTCCCCCACCCTAAAATAAAATAAAATTTACTTGAAGGGAACAGTTATTAGTGTCGGTGGAATGAAATATTATATAACGCTAATCTTTATTCTCAAATTCATTTGTTCAAAATTCAGACAACAATGAAATTTCTCGAAATTACTCAAGTTTATTTAATTTAGTCTCGCTTAATTTTCTGTATAAATAAAATCAGTGCCCTGCATTCGGTCACCAGTACATATACCTGTCTAATAATGTGATATTTCCAGTTGCTTGCATGTCATATCTAAGCCACGACTAACTTATTGTTTTTGTGGCGTACCGTGTCGTATAAATTTGGTTTCTTTGTTCCAGGTCCATTACTCTACAAACATTTAATTCCGTGTGTCGAATACCTTTGTCATGCATACGAAATTTATATTATTAATAAACACAATTTGAAGAAGCAACTGTGAATATATTTGATTTGTTTTAAAATTCGAATACTTTTAAGTATATTTAGGTACGCCTTGTGGGAATCCCCCGTGACGCCGCCGCAACACCCCACGCCCCAGCCCCAACCCTTCACCCTCCCTTGTAGTAGTTTGTCTGATGACCCTTGGCTAATGGCGCACTTGTGTACTTTCAGTGGCGGCGTCGGAGTCGGGGGATTACTACAAAAGCTACTATGGGTTTAATGGGATCACGCGAAGTCCACTGGAGGAAAAATCCAACCGACGTTTGGTAGGTGATCATAACTCTCCTCTAAAATAATACACTTAAAATCGGTTAGTATATTCCATGTGAATAGATGCCAGTATTATATGTTGCATTCGGACGTCGGGTTGACATAATCCTGCATCAATTTATGTTTTGTAATTTATTGTTAATACGCTCCACAGAGTTCCTTTACATAACACAAGTTATAATATATTAAATATAAAGAATCCATTTATAATCGGGAGTGATTAGTCATAATTATAAAAAAATATATATGCCGTTCCCACTATTTAAGCCCAGACCACTTTAGGTACAAAACTGTTCCCCAGCTGAAATTCACCAGAATATTTATTTTGACAACGTGAGACGTGATGCAGTATAGGAGTTCTGCAACCAAAAATCATACCTGGTTAACTCATGAACTAATAAATTTGCCTGGACATTATTCTATTACTAATTGAAGTGCAGGTTCAGAGAATATTTTTGAACAAATGAAATCTCACAATATTTAAGGCCCTAATAATTGTTTAGAAAGCAAAGGATTCAAATTATTGGATCGTAAACACATGATTTCAGGAAACTCTTTACAAATAATTGTTTATGGTAATGAATGCCAGAAATTACATGATACGCATACAGGATGCTGATTTGAAATGTTTTCTTTTCTTGGTCGTGGAAAATTGATTGCAGGTCTGAAAATGAAAGGCATGCCTGATATCACGAATCTAAATTATGAATTGTAATCTTTAAAGTCCTTGGTTTTAATTAATACCGACTTAAGTTGGTGTTCACACTGGAATATATTACCACAAAACTTTACACATAGTTCTACTGCTTTCCTTAACTTCTGCTATTAAATAACAATAGAACTCATCTTCCTCAAACGAATATTTAAGTTTCCTTGGATTTTCCTTCAGAGGGGTCGCTTAATTCTTTAAACTCTGTGCAGTTTATGCTCTTAAGTAAAGTAAAGATTGCATGAAAACTTGTAGACAGTTTTGTTTCTGTTGTAAGCATTCCGATCGTTGTCACACGAGCAGAACTAGATGTAAGCATGCATATTATTAGGAAATTACTCAATAATCTTAGTACTTTAGTATGTATAATTAGTTACATTCGTGCATGGTAATATGTGTGTTGTCTTGTATATTTGCTCCAGTACATTATATAGACGCATTGTCATAGGGCCTTTGCCCTTCTCAGTAGGTAGATACGTTTTTATAATGACATGTGTCTTTGGCTTGCGGGCTTTAATTACGTTCAGGGCATGCACGTTTCCGTGTTTCAATCATAAAATTTTATGTTTATTTAAACTCGATGTAACATAACAGAAATGACTTGGGACTTATATTAAACTAATGAAAGCCATCTTGCCAGCTCGTTCAATATGCGACATAATTTAGGGGGGGGGGGGACCATTCAAGTATGTACTGCAGTAATGTTCTTTGGAAGGGGTGGGTAAATTTGCATTATATATGACGCAACAATGTTGATATGAGTGACAAGCTGATAACTAACTATTGCAGTCGGCATCGCGACGCGTGGGCCTGTCCTGCTCCAACTGTCACACTAACACGACGTCCCTTTGGCGACGCAACTCGATGGGCGAGCCGGTGTGCAACGCGTGCGGCCTATACTACAAGTTGCACGGCGTCAACCGCCCACTGGCGATGAAGAAGGACAGCATCCAGGTGAGATTTACTGCGCTCACACTGGCTTGGCCTCTGCTTTTTCCGAAACAGCGAGAGGCACTGTTAGAAGTTTGTTCTTCATAGTTGGGGTCCGCAGTGGCCGCGCGGTCGCTGGGACCGTGGGTTCGAATCCCACTCAAGCCATGGATGTTTTTCTGTGTTGTGCTGTCCTGTGTACAGGTAGAGGCCTTGCGACGGGCCGATCCCTCGTCCAAGGAGTCCTACCAAAATGTCTATAGATGAAGCCAACGAAACGTTGCGACCCGCAGTGCTCAGGCACTTGAAGAACGGGTCGTTCCCACTATCTTCATAGTTATGCATTTATGGATGAGAGCGATAATGCGAGCTGCAGATTAGAACATGGATCTACAGGAATTTCTAGATGCGCTCATTGTAATTTCGTTTTTCGTATTAGTACCGATGCTCATTTGGACAGAGTAACAACTGTCAGCAGAACCGAGACAACGTATTTGTTGACAATCCAACCCCTGTTCCACTCGAAGATGACTGTCTTCTGGTTTGGTGAGCCGCGTTAGTCTGGTAGAAGTTTATCGACGTTTCAGAGCTTCTTATTTCCTTCATTATCTCTGATCGCAGTATCACACAAGACATCTTTATACACGCCACCGTAAGGACCTGAAATGTTACGTTCCACTCGTAACCGGGGACTAATTCGGGCTCATTTGGTCATCATGATGCATATAATGCAGCACAGAGGAATCAGCTTTATAAAATTAAGACTTTTGTCAACATTCACCACTGTCAGTCTAGTGAAACTACGGGAAGCATATCTTCATGCATCAGCTGGTCGACCGAAGCTGTTCACTTCGCGGAAACAATGTAATTGTTACGAAAGAACATTTCCAGACCTTACAACTAAAAGACAAGTACGGTAACCCTGAACTGCTCGAAGAAAAGAGGAATGGAAAAATTTACGAATGAAGTGAATTATCGGTCTACGTGACTTCTGAAGGGGTTTTGCTTAGTAACCTACTGTGTGTACTTTCACGGCCTTCATACGAGCGTTCTCTGCCTACACAGAAATCTATAACAATGGCGTGTTGCTATTTACATACTTGCTGTAGCTATTAAACCCTGTGTCCTGCAATGTAATGCTGGCTGTTTTACTTCCATGCAGTGAATTTTCTGTTAAAACACGTGGCTGCTTGTATTAGAATGTTTTAGTAAACTGCCTCTCACGTAATAAAGACGTTCCGCACTGTTCTCGTGCACAGTACATCAAAACAAGAAGGAAGCCAGGAAAATTGTGTCTATGAGACGTATAACGGTACCACATGTATAAGTTATTTCAAATGTAACAACGCGAGTCAATGAGTAAACAAGTAATACCAAAATCACTCGAAGGATTAAGGATAGTGGTGTTTGCATATTTTTAATTTATAGTCGGACGAATTTTTGTAACATTACAACCATCAAATTAGCACTTACAGTGATACGTCTTATAAGAGTATACATTTTTCTTCTGTACGAAAGGACGTTTATTTACCTTTCGTTTGATGGTTGAGTTCGGACTTAGTGCGCATAAGTTATTTTTATATTATTCGCTAAGCTAAATGGTGTCTGAATTCTTAATGTGGGGAAGCGCGGAGTTATTTATAAAGGAAAAGCTATACAGGATGAGTCAGAAGTATGCTTACAAACTTTGTGTGCGTGTTCCAGGATCAAAATTAAGAAAAAAGTGTTCTTTTGAACATGGGGTCGCAAATGTTTCATTTTCGAAATAATAGCCAAAAATAAGTTTCATTGAATCGAGTTTATATCAAAGTGAATCCAGCTTCCAGCAAAGATTTTCAATTAAGGTTTGGGTAGGAATTGTTGGCGACTTGCTTATTGGTCCACACATGCTTCCATCGCGTCTAAGAGGACCTTCATATCGGCGATTCTTAGGAAGACACTTGCCACGTCTCCTTGAAGACGTACCACTGAATACAAGAAGACAGATGTGGTTTATGCATGACAGAGCACCAGCACACATATCCCATCGCGTCAGATATCATCTCAATGAACAGTACCCTCAACGATGGATTGGGCGTGGTGGCCCAGTAGCATGGCCACCATGGTCACCGAACCTGACTCCATTGGACTTTTATCTGTGGGGTCACTTGAAGTCCGTCGTTTATGCAACACCCATAAACAATGATGACGACCTATGGGAACGTGTGCAGAATGCATGCCAGATGATTCGAAGAAACCCTGGTTTGTACGAACGAATTCGTCAGTCTTGTGTACGTCGTGCTCGTGCATGTGTGGAGAATGGAGGAACAACCTTTGAGCATCTGTTACAAAGAAACATCCCTGTCCTTCTACTTGACAATAAAGGCATACACTGAAAATTATTTTTGGTTATTATTTCGAAAATGAAACATTTGCGACCCCATGTTCATAGGAACATTTTTTTCTTATTTTTGATCCTGGAGCACGCACACGAAGTTTGTAAATATACTTCTGACTCACCCTGTATAGTGTATACGTACTTACTTTACGGTAAACGACACAGTTAACTACTTTTATTTCCAATATTATTCTGTAACACCTGAAATATATGATACTTTATTAAACAGCCCTGTCTGTTACTGTTTCCGGCAATACGTTTGTTTCAGACACGATACGTTAATTCTGCAGATGTCGCCAACAAGCGAAAGAGGGAATGTTGGAATCACGAAATTATGGGTGACGGTGTAGCTTCTGTTAAGTGAAAAGAAATAGGTTATCTTAAAACAGTGAAAACTCATTTAGCTTTTCGTGGTACGCAGAATGTAGGCGCAGAGGTGAAAGCTTTAGGACGAAAGCTCATTCCGTGACTGAATTAAAAGAACTTTCCATCTACATACAATTGCTTGCAGATGGAGCAACGATGCTTTGGATATTTGTTGCAATGACGTATGACGGACTGGATTCTACAACTCCAAACAGAACGACATCCTAATCACCTATTGTATAGAAAACGATAGATCCGGGAAGAAGTGGCCGAGGATGTCAGAAGAGGGAAGTTTGTCTTTCAGTGTGTACACCGTAAAGCTTACAGATGCTGGAATGAAAGCTGTAATCCCAGGGAGTGAAAACTTCTTTGATATCTTGGCGCAAGGAATGCACAAAATTAAGTTTCCTCCAAACAGCATATTTGACAGTTCATCTGAGTACAAAACAAGATTGGGTCTGAAATCGAAGCTCCAAATCGGATCGACTGCTTGAGAAGACAGATGTGGTCTTATTAACAGCTTTTTTGTGAATCCAACTGGAATGTTTGCCCTCCCGCTCCTTGTAATCCGCAGAAAGAATGTGAAGGAAGAAATCATGAACTCCAGGTTCGATTTCAGCATGTCATTCTTCTGTCTGAATAACAAGTGATATTTTTATTCAGTGGTTCAAGCACTTCTGCATGATCAAACCTCTGAAGGAAGACTCTGCCATTTTAATTTTAGACGGCCATTACTCATACAGCTACAAGCTATAAGGAAACGTAGGGTCACTGACCTCGCAAGTGAGAATGGGGTAAATTAATTGTTCGCTGCTACCTCACAGCATTCGCCGAAAGCTGCAGTTGGATATTTCATTTATAGACCCTTTTTAAAAGCTATAGCTATGAAATCGAATCGTGGTATAAAAATCATCCCGGTCGTGTTGTTAAAACATGTAAAATTGGCAGACGTTTTGGAAAGGCTTACATTAAGACTGCTACAAATTCTGAGCGCTGAAAGAAAACTTAACTATTTGTGATTTAATTTGACTGATCCCTGATTTAAATAGTAGTCTGTTGAGTCTCTGTTTGATGTCAACCCGTGGATGTTATATTATTCTCATCTCCACAGTGTAACAACCGAAGTGTAGAGCATAATCCTGATGCTCATATTTTGCAGACAAGGAAGAGGAAACCAAAAAGTGGAACTCCGAAGTCAGAAAGTTCTGGAGGCGGGAGCAGTGGAGGTGCGAACTCCAACTCCATGCAACAAAGCCCCAGCATTGTGAAGCTAGAGCACTCAGGTACGGTGATGCATCTAAGCAGGGAACGTGAGTTTACATTTCTGTGTCTGTGGATCTGACATTGTCATGTTTCAACGTGTTAATTCCCAATTAAATTGCTTTCCCTCATTCAAGATATGGACTATCGTTTTGTTTGACTGCCTGAGGTAAGTTACTTCTCAGTGCTTCAGTATATCCTCCATTCGTGATATTCCGCGTGTAAAGAGATTTTGAACTCACATTCAAAAAAGTCTTTCGTGCATGCACGCCATTACTTAAATTTTGCAATTTCTCTTCTGACTTTTCTAGCTAAGTATACAACTTCAAAATATTACTTGCTGTCAATTGATAACGTTCACATGTTTCCGGGAAAATAAAGTCCATACAATTGCAAAAAAAAGTTGTCGTCCCTGACGAATTGTGCAACACAGCAAAATTTCAGTCAAGCTGTTAATGCCGGTGATAATAAACAAGTTTATGAATATGTTCCAATGCGACATGCAAGAGGGCTTTATATCCAAAATTTTGTTCACAGTTTCTGGAAATCGGACACTGCAAAATGCTAAAACTACTACTTATGGTGGTAGTTTTCTTTTTAACTAAAACTACCTATGTTTCTTATTTTCTATTAAATTTATTTTAGTGACATCTAAAATTCCTAATTGTGTAGCTTTTATCCGGGACTGAGACGCAACTTTGGTTTTTATGCAGCTAATTTATAAAACTAAATACCAGAGGATCTACTTCAGTTCCTCTTGAACTTCGTTATCTCAAGATTCACGTGATGGTTTGCAGTGTAGAGTACTGAAGAAATTGTCATATATTAAACGCTGTTTGCATCTAATTGAACGGAAACTTCTCGAAAAATCAAAGAGTCTATTTTGCCAACAGGGTGTATCTTTCGGTTCCTTGTGATCTGTAGACTAAACACGGATAATTTCCTTGAAAACATCCTTAACCACTTGGTATTTATGATGCGGTCCGCCGATTTAGGAACCTAACCTTTAAATATTATTTAGATGAACTTCGTGCATCAGCGTGGTTTAATACACCGTTGAAGTGTGTTGCATAACATGAAACAGGGTTTCGCTAAGCAACGTTTGACCGAATATTAACGACTACTAAAAAATATCAGTCAAGCGGACTAGTTAGTTAGTGACGTTATCAGTGTCCTCGCCAATGCACTTGCTGTTTCTGATAACCTCTTTGGAATCAGCTTATTATGTTTCAAACAGGAATGCTGAAAACTTGCTCTTTTGACTTGCAATATTATCAGTATTTGGCAGACTTATAATAAAGAAAGCATAGGCCTATGGTTATGGAAGTCATTTCACTTATTCGTTTTATAATACGTACTTCACATTTTTTGCTTCAAATACAGTCGTTAAAAATATACACGATCGCGCGCATGCTTGCATATTTATATTTGAAGTATTGAGTGTAACTATCAGGCTTACTAGTTTTACAGGCCCTTATATTCATACATAATAACGTGACTACCAATGAAGTATGCGAATTATCAGAAATCATGGGGTATAAAATATTGATCATCTATGTGAAGACAGT